AAATGAAGGATCCAAAATTTGGGAAAACCCCAATTTGGACTCAAATATGGGTTCAAGTATTGCTTGGACCTAATACTATTCACTGGAGCCCACGCTGAGGTGGCAGAGCCCATGTGCTTCTAAAAAATGGTGGGACCCGCGCTGGTTACATGTTCTGATGAGCTTGTCTGTGGCATGGGTCACGTGTTGACACTAGGTGAAAGAGCTATTGGGCTTTGGCTGTCTCCTTTTTATTTTATTTTAAAATCAAATAGTATCGATTGGGCCCACATGCTGGCTGTTTCCATTAAAAAAAAATTATGGAATTTCAAATTTTTTTTTTAGGTCAAATTGTTCAAAAAATTAAATTATGATGTTATTTAAAAAGATTAAATGAAGAAAAGTTATCCATTAAAAAAAAAAAGACTTAAACAATTTAAATAAAGTTGCGGACTTAAAATTTGAGTCCGGAGGGTTGGGAGAAAAAACGATTTGAGTCCGGGAAAAACCCAAATAGTCACTTTTTGGAGGGGGGAAATTTGGGTTTAGCTCCTCATGGGTTGGAGAAGGCCTAAGTGAGTAAGAAAACTTCATGCCTAATTTGAAAGTAATGCAATATAATAATTATGACAATATCATAAATCGTTCAGTGGGCAGTACTGTACAAGCAGCAGGATTGAGTTATATCCTCTTCAATTTAATATAATCAAATGCAATCAAATTCTACGTCTTAATTCAGTCACCAAACGTGATAAGTATCGTAAAGAACAGAATTCTGTAAAATATATATGGCAATCGGCTTTTTTTATTATAAAGAGAACCACTTTACAAAAGAAGATATCTTTTTCTAACCATCGGGGGACTAATGTTAACGAAAAAAGCATATATGCAAAACATTCCACATCTTTTTCCTTCCTTGAAAATGAACCTTCGCTGTAACTATTGGGTTCCTTGTTTTTTTTTTCCTTTTTCCTTATACTTTTTGAATATATTAATGTTAGCTTTTTCTTTGTGTTTTCTAACTTATTACTTCCCTTCCTTCCCCAATTTCCTTTTTAATTATTGTTATCGTTGCCAAGTTTCATTTTGCTACCTAATTAAGTTTAGCCCCTTTTGATCAGACGTCCACGTGTCAAAATTAGTATAGCCGTTCGGTTATACTATTTATTAAAAAAAAAAAATCAGGGAAAATCGAGTACATCCGACGGGCTATACTATTTTTACAAACACAAAAAAAAAAAAAAACACTGAGTATAGCCGCGCGGCTATACTATTTATACACGTTCTTGCGGTTAGGTGCCCACGTGTCAAAATAAGTTAGCCGCCTGGTTATACTATTTTTTTAAAATTAAACTAGTGTCACCATATTCACCAACTTCTCCATTTGTTAGATGCTGAAGAATATTATTGAATTTGATCCAAGGTGCCTAATTTGATAGTAATGCAATATAATAATTTTGAAAGTAATGTATTAATGTTATATATATAGTAAGGCCATCTCGAACCCTTAGACTCAAACCCAAAATATCCCCCCAAACCTCTTCCAACCCAAGAAAATGAAGGATCCAAAATTTGGGAAAACCCCAATTTGGACTCAAATATGGGTTCAAGTATTGCTTGGACCTAATACTATTCACTGGAGCCCACGCTGAGGTGGCAGAGCCCATGTGCTTCTAAAAAATGGTGGGACCCGCGCTGGTTACATGTTTTGATGAGCTTGTCTGTGGCATGGGCCACGTGTTGGCACTAGGTGAGAGAGCTGTTGGGCTTTGGCTGTCTCCTTTTTTTTATATTTTAAAATCAAATAGTATCGATTGGGCTCACATGCTGGCTGTTTCCATTAATTTTTTTTTTATATGGAATTTCAATTTTTTTTTAGGTCAAATTGTTCAAAAAATTAAATTATGATGTTATTTAAAAAGATTAAATGAAGAAAAGTTATCCATTAAAAAAAAAAAACTTAAACAATTCTTAAACAATTTAAATAAAGTTGCGGACTTAAAATTTGAGTCCAGGTGGGAGAAAAAACGATTTGAGTCCGGGCAAAACCCAAATAGTCACTTTTGGAGGGGGAAAATTTGGGTTTAGCCTCTCATGGGTTGGAGAAGGCCTAAGTGGGTCTGAAAACTTCATGCCTAATTTGAAAGTAATGCAATATAATAATTATGACAATATCATAAATCGTTCAGTGGGCAGTACTGTACAAGCAGCAAGATTGAGTTATATCCTCTTCAATTTAATATAATCAAATTCTACCTCTTAATTCAGTCACCAAACGTAATAAGTATCATAAAGAATAGAATTCTGTAAAATATATATGGCAATCGGCTTTTTTTATTTTTTTTTATTTTTTATAATTATAAAGAGAACCACTTTACAAAAGAAGATATCTTTTCCTAACCATCGATCGGGGGACTAATGTTAACGAAAAAAGCATATATACAAAACATTCTGCATTCTTTTCCTTCCTTGAAAATGAACCTTCGCTGTAACTATTGGGTTCCTTGTTTTTTTCTTTCCTTTTTCCTTATACTTTTTGAATATATTAATGTTAGCTTTTTCTTTGTGTTTTCTAACTTATTACTTCCCTTCCTTCCCCCATTTCCTTTTTTATTATTGTTATCGTTGCCAAGTTTCATTTTGCTACCTAATTAAGTTTAGCCCCTTTTCATCAGACGTCCACGAGTCAAAATAAGTATAGCCACTCGGCTATGCTATTTATTAAAAAAAAAAAAAAAGGGAAAACCAAGTACAACTGACCGGCTATACTGTTTTTACAAAAAAAAAAAAAAAAAAAAAAGCCGCGTATAGCCGCGCGGCTATACTATTTTTTAAAATAAAAAATGCGAGTACGGCCGCTCGGCTACACAAATTTTTTTTTTTTAAAAAAAAAGTTTAGTCTAAAAAAAAAATTATATATTTTAAAAGTAAAAAAAGGGACCCCTTTACAACTTAAAAATTGGTCACTATACAATATTTTAATACATATTATTTTTATTCAATAATAGGTGAGAATTATTTGTATAATACGCTAATTTTGTGTGTCTTATTGAAACTTTTATTAAAAATACGTGTATTAAACATGAAAAATACATACGTGCATGTACACTATTAAACGTGAAAGTGCTAAATTCTTTGTAAGAGTAATTACTCTGGGTGTCTTAAACTACTCTTATCGGTAAATGAAAATCGGGGAAAAATATGTATAAAAAAAAAGGATCCCATTAAATTACTTATTTTTGTTTGGGTGTCTTAATTAAATTTCTCCAGATCCCAAGAGCTCCAAGGCCCAAGGCCCTAGTCTTTGATTGATATAATTATTATTAATCAAAGCCGAGCTTATAGCCAACCCCATTAGCCCAACTCTCCAATGTTAACCACACTTACCAAACCATCATAGTGCTTTGTTTATAAACACCTTTATAGGAATGTGGATTTTTGATGTGGTATTTTGTAGATACCAACCTTCAAACCCAAGAACCCCCTAGGAGTTAGTGCTAGCGCACTTAACCACTAGGAGAATGTAGAGAATGTTGTCTTTATTACTTATTGTCAAATGCTTTGTCGTTAAATGTTAATGTATATAATTTTCTTTTCCAAATTGTTGTTTAACTCATGATATATTTTCACAGAAAATCAAATTAATTGTTTCCAAATTTACTTTATTGAAAAATTGAAATCCAATACAAGTACATTACTCTTTAAAACCACACCGTCATTGACTAAACAGAAAAGGGGACGACAAATGAAGTTGTTGTTGTGGAAACATGCAATATCACAGATATGTTAGTCAAATAAAGTAAGGGAAAAAATTCAGATATTCTCATATTATTATTCTTCTCTAATATTGAGGTATTTATACAAGTACAAAGATGTGTTAACACTAAATAAAATAGGAAATATATCTAAATTACAATAGAAAATAAATATAAATTATAATAGGAAATAAATCTCAATTATAATATGACTAGATAAATGGTAAGTAACTAAAATCCTAACATAGTAAGAAACCAAAATCCTAACTAAGTAAGGACTCGCCAACACTCCCCCTTAAGTTGGGCAAAGATATTTCGTAGACCTAACTTGACAAGCGAGTCACTGAACACCATACTTGAGAAGCACCAATTGTAGATAAGGTCTTTTAGTCAACCACGAGTGAAACAAGTGACAAACTAAAGCAAAGTTTGCAGCGGAAACACAAGAGCAAACCCAAAAAAATTGGGCACATAGCAAAACACAGAAACCCTGTGAGCACGGCAATAGGTAAGGCAGAACACAGAAAAAATAGGGCACATAGCATAACACAGAAACCCTGTGAGCATGGCAATAGGTAAGACAGAACACAGAAACTTTGTGAGCACGGTAGTAGATAAGGCAGAATACAGAAACCCTGTGAGCACTGCAGCATATAAGGCAGAACACAAAAACCATGTGAGCACGACAACAGATAAGGCAGAACACATAAGCCTTGTGAGCACGACAATAGATAAGGCAGAACACAGACACGACGGTAGCAAGGTATGCGGCAACACGGTAGCAAGATAGATAGCAGCGGCGGGCTAGGATTATAGGCTAGGTGTATAGTGCAACAGAAATAGGTAGTGTTTAGGGTTAAGGTAGAGACGAATCAGAACATAGCAACATCAATGGTGACAGTAGCAGCAACCGCAACAATAAATTCTTCCATATAAACTTGAGTTAATTAATGTAGACACAACTTCTCTTCACTCCTCCTCTCCCCCTGAAGAGAAGGGGTAGTTGGAGTCAAGAAATAAGCAACATCTTCGAGGGAGGAGGGGAGGAGAGCACTTAAATTTCAAGAAGAACGCAAGCACAAGTCACAAAGATGTGTTAACCCTAAATAAAATAGGAAATATATCTAAATTACAATAGAAAACAAATATAAATTATAATAGGAAATAAATCTCAATTATAATATGACTAGATAAATGGTAAGTAACTAAAATCCTAACATAGTAAGGAACCAAAATCCTAACTAAGTAAGGACTCGCCAACAATGTTTAGTTGTAGGCATCAGGGTTGGCCACAAGATAGGTCTCAATAATCTTGAACAAAGCATAGGCCTTCTCTGTGCCGGCCTTAACATGCTCTTCCTTGATCTCAACTTCACCTTTGGTGTGGTAGCTGCTGGTGTTCTTTATGACTGAACCTCCATCTGCAGATGCCACCAACTTAATCTCGTAAGAGATTTTCTCAATTTTGTCTGTAAGAGCATCTTCGCCTTCAATCAAACTGTAGTTGTACACAAAGTTATCTTTGTCAAGCTCGTCTACCTGGTGCTTCACGTAGCTGTATTCACTTCCTATAATTTGAAAATTTGAGGATGGTTAATGTCAATCTTTTTAGAAATTATGACACTAATGCTTTCAAGATACATATTAACTTGAAAACCAAGTTAATTAGTAGAGAGATAGACAATGTTGGGAAGTAAACAAACCTTCACCGAAGCTAGTCTTCTTGATGGTTCCAACACCTCCATCTCCTTCTGTCAAACAATATGGGTAGAATATTTTCAGGTTGTATTTCATTCTCTAAAAGGAGGTATTTATAATTCAATTACGTAACCCTAGTGGGGTCAAACTAGGAAATAATATAAAATCATAATTACACAATATATGTACAAAAGGAAAGAAATATAGTCCTAATAAACTAAGAAGTAAATCTCCTAATTAAGCTAGGATCTCGTTATTACTGCCCTTCAAGTTGGAGTAAAGATGTCATGCATGCCCAACTTGTCAAGCGAGTTGAGAAAGACAATAGTAGACACAGCTTTCGTAAGTATATCTACCAGTTGATACTCGTATGATATAAACAGAAAAGAAACAATCTCAGCATCCACCTTCTCTTTAATAAAATGTCTTTCAACCTCCACGTGCTTTGTACGATCATGTTGCACAGGGTTATGAGCAATCGCAATTGCAGCTTTGTTATCACAATACAAATCCATGGGTTTTTGGGGCGCAAACCCAAGATCTTTCAATAATCTCCTCAACCATAGTAACTCACACACACCTTGAGCCATCCCACGATACTCAGCTTTGGCACTAGACCGAGACACCACTTTTTATTTTTTACTACCAACAAATGTGAAATACCCAGACGTAGAACGTCTATCAGTAACTGAACTAGTCCAATCAGCATCCGTGTATCCTTCCACATATGTATGACCATACTTGGAAAACATTAGCCCATTGCCAGGAGTTACTTTCAGATACCTCAAAATATGCATCACAGCACCCATATGATCTTCACTAGGAGAATGCATGAACTGACTCACTACACTCACTGCATATGTAATATCAGGACGTGTATGAGCTAAATAAATCAATTTCCCCATAAGTCATTGATAACGCTCTTTATTTGTAGGGACTTGATCATGATACAACCTCAACTTATGATTCTGTTCACCAGGTCCAAGTATAACCCTTTGCTACCAATCGAACCTTGTAATGATCAATGGAACCGTCAGCCTTATGCATCAAAGTAAACACCCATCTGCATCCAACAGATTTCTTCCCTCGTGGCAAATGAACTGAATCCCATGTTTTATTATTGTTCAAGGCATCCATTTCAACATTCATGGCATCCATCTATTTGGGGTTAGATAAAGCATCCTACAGCTTAGTTGGCACACATACACTAGATAATTGACACAAATATAATGCATATGACTTAGACAAACGATGAGTTAACACATAATAGCTAATGAGATATTTAGACTTGGCATGTATGTCAGGAGAATATTGTACTTTAGGTTTCTCACGAGTGGTTCGTGGGGGTAACTGATAAGTTGACACAGATAAATCATTAGAAATTAATTCACTTGATTCACTACCGTGAATAGATTGGGGCACTGGCAGCGCAGAGGGGGGGGGGGGGTATTGCATTAACCTTATCCACACAAAAATCACTGTCACTATTTTCAGATACAGGCGACTGGTCGCTTGCTTCAATGCGATCGGTCGTTTCGACACCAAAAGCACCTGCTTCATCTCTAGATATGGGCTACTGGTCGAGTTCCAAAGGGCGACCGGTCGTTTCTTCACAGAGACCACATGTTTCATTTTTAGATATGGGCGACCGGTCACTTGCTTCAGTGCGACCGGTCGTTTCCTTCCTAAGATCAGTATCTTCAAACACATCATTTTTCAATTCAAATCCAAGATTCTCCAATCCAAGACTCTCCAATTCACTCATTCTCTCCCCTTGAATTGGAGAGGAGAGAGACATATAATAGGGCACTTCTTCATGAAAAGTCACATCCAAAGTAATATGCACCTTATGGGTAGGTGAATGATAACACTTATAACCCTTTTATGTAGAAGAGTAACTAATAAAACACATCGCAGAGCACAAGGATCAAGTTTACTCTGTTGATAAGAGTAGACATGAACATAGGCAACACACTTAAAAACTTCAGGGGGCAACTTGGAGACGGAGACATGGGAAACATGGTCACCAAACACATCATGTGGAGTCTTGAAATCAAGAACCCGGCTAGGAGTACGATTAATCAAATAGGCAGCAGACAGAACATCATGCCCCTAAAGATGATGGGGAACAGATATATCCAATATGAGTGAGCGGGGAACTTCAAGCAATTGTCGATTTTTTCGTTCAGACACACCATTTTGTTGAGGGGTAAAAGGGGTTGTCGTTTGGTGAATAATACCTTGAGTAAGGAAGAAAGACGCCAAAGTACTATTTACATATTTGTCTCTGTTATCAGTCCAAAATACTTTGACCCGAGTATGAAACTGAGTAGACACCATAGTGCAAAACTCTGGAAGGATGGAAGAAACATCATGTTTATTTTTCAGCAACCCAAGTGAGTATGGTATAATCATCAATAAATGTGACGAACCAATGAACTCCGTTCGAAGTAATGCGAGCCGGACCCCACACATAAGAATGCACTAAATCAAAAAGCTTTGTAGCTTTACTGTCACTCAAAGGAAACACCGTGCGATAATTCTTAGCCAAAATACATGTCTTACACTTAAAACTGGACTCATCACAAGAGCAGAATAAAGATGGAAGCAGATGCTTAAGGTAGCCAAATGAAGGGTGTCCCAAGCGACGATGCCATAACCAAATTTGCTGTTTGTCTTTGACACTGCAACTTTGAATAGTATTAACGACACAATCACAAACTGGTGTAGAAGGCAATGTCAAATAATATAACCCTTCTATCTGTTTACAATGCCCAATCGTCTCGTAAGTCTTAAGATCTTGAAAAGAGCAATGTGTAGGATGGAAAGTAGCAGAAGTATTAAGTGTATCAAGTAATCGACCAACAGATAACAAGTTACAATGGATATTAGGAACTAATAACACACGAGAAGTCATGGATCTCATGAATTGTAATGTACACCAATTTGCTCCGTTGTCGTGGAGGACAATAAATGTCTTAATCTTATCTCAAGTTCTAGATCATTATTTTAACATTGACATCTCAAGTAAACAGAGTACATAAAATTCCAAGTTATCAAACACAGAATACACACAGTTTACAAAACAGAAACTTGCAATATCTCTTTAAGGTTGAAATGGATGCTCCATCGTCTAGCATCTTCCTTCAAGAACCTAATGCTTTTGGTTTGAACAATATGCAGCCTCTAGGCCATCAATTTAAAGTCCCATATCATTATCAGGAATGAACAACTTGCAAGTTGCCAACCCTCAAATTCAAATAATAAAAATATTAAGAAAGTAGCAACGATATATCTGAAAGGGAGAGGGGGGAGAGGTGGGTGAGAGACCAGTTCGAAAGAAACAAAAAAACAGAATTATAATTTCAAAAAATTACCAAATTCCTATATAAATCCAAAATATTACCAAAAAAGAAAAAGAAAAAAAAAAGGACTTGCGATTCAATACCTAAATCATTAAACCCTAAATTAAAATAGAACATATAAATCATTTTACCAGAAAGCCTAGACCATAATTCAAAGTTGAAATACTTTCTGCTATGATGCAAATCATCTAAATCGCACAGTTAGAAAGAGAGGGAGAAAACTAGAGTTCTTACCTGCCATAGAGAGGTTGGGAGAAAGCCATCCACAGAGATCCAGATGAGAGTGAGGCAAAGAAATCATAACTGTGAAAACCTTAAAAAACAAAACAAAGAAACCAGCGATGAAGCAGCAGCAACAAGGAGGATACCCAGACCAAAAGCCCTAGAAAGGAGAAAGAAATGAAGAAGGAGCATGACCTACCTGAGAGGAGAGGAGATGTGGTTGCTGGCATCGTCTCGTCGTCACAAAAGGAGGAGAGGAGCTGCTGTGGAAGGAATCGAACTCAAGAGAAAGAATTGTGAAACCCAACCCTTGAAGTCGACTTGAAATGTCTCTGACTGAGAGAGCAAGTATTTTTGTCTTTTATTTTATTATATATATATATATATATTTATTGTTTTACCTAGAGCAACCAATTTAACTGGTAACCGACAATCAACGCTTTGGATTACCCCGCATGCCCCAACTACTCATCCAATGGTCTATAATAAGTGGCGCACTATAGAATTTTCCCAAGTGAAGATTCATTCAATGAACATCCTTTATTTCATAGAAATTGGGGCAATAGAATAAAAGCCAACCGATCCAGTCTTTTACTAGTTTAGTTAGTTTAGTGGCTTCTGCCTGAGCTGAGGGCAGCCGGTCTTTATCAACTTGCTGCACTATTTTATTAATTTCCACTTCAAGAGTTTGTTATTACTCTTGCATGTATCTGATAAATCTCCCCATTATTTTATTTTATTTTCTCATTTTGTCTTCTTTTTTTTTCCTCACAGAGATTGCATAATTGGTGAAAATTGCAATTTTGAGGTTATGTTCATGGAGGATTGAAGTTTTGAGATTAGGTTCATGGAGGAGGCTCTAGACTTATTCCTTTTCTCCTTAACATTTTGTTTAAAACTTGTTTTCAATTGAGATTAATTTGAAACTCATATTGTCTAAGAGTTTTTTTGTTTGCCAATGTGTAATGTGTAAGACTTATTTAAGATTTCAGCTTTATTTCTATTACATCTCTCATTTGAGGTGTTTTCATTTAATAATTTGTTAAAAAATATTATTTAATTTTTAAATGGGTGAAGGGGGTTAAGCAGGTGAAATGGGTGAAAAACGACCCATTAGCCCTGACGGGTCGTATCGTGTTATTCGCAAGTATGTGCGGGTCGTGTTTGGGTCTAGTATTTTTGACCCGTTAGTTTAATGAGTCGTGTTCGTATCAATCCGTTAAGAAAATGAGTTGATCCGAACACAACCCGTAACCAACAAAAACGACTCGTTTGCCAGCTCTAATTTATAGGTTAAGGGTGAAGAGTCTGATGTGTAAGGTGACCCCAATGGATATAAAGTTCAGTGGTTGTTTCCCATGTGAATATTTTAGTCAAAGATAGCCACCTCTACAAGTTGATTTTAAAAATTCCAAGTTATTACAACTAGTTGGAATTTTTTCATAGAATGTTTTGGTGTGCAGAGTCTGCTGACTAGGGACGGACCCATAGTGGGGTCATTGTGGTCAAACGACCCCATGGAAGCCATGGAAGTAGGCTTGGAAGTCCGCTTGAGCTGGCTGTGAGACCCCTTGGATTGCCCTCCAAGTGCTTGATGTTTTGCCTGACAGGAAGAGGGAGGAAGCCTCGTGCAGGAATAAGAAGCATTCTTTTTTTTTTAAACACCATGGGCCAAAGGACGTCGTTTTGGCTCTGGGATCCAAACCCCAAGCTCCCCAATCACCACCTATTATTCTTATTGTGATATTTCTCATTTCAAGTTATTTCTAAATCTTAAAATCAAAATAAGGATGATGTGTGCTGTTTTTAATTGAATGGAAATCAAATTTGTAATTGCTTGGATGAAATTTATGATTTATATGTATGATATTTGTTGATTAGTAGGTGGTTGTAGTTTTTTTGTTTTTTGGTTAATTGGCATAGGTTTGCTTTGAAATTTTACGAATGGAAATCACTCAAAAACATATATAAAAAAATGACAAATTGAAATCATTCAAAGCATATTTTCCAAGAAAGAAATAAAATTTGGAAGAGAAAAAATAGATAAGAAAAATAACCCATTCTTAAATTTTCTTTGGAACATTACACTATGACCCTACGGGATTCGAAACATGGGTCCGTCACTGCTGCTGATTCAATAATATTCTCATTCAATCAACTGAAAAATCTAACGTCCTTTTCACATTCTTTTTCTTATGGCCAACCCTGATGCCTACAACTAAAACAATCTATGAGATACTGCATGTTACAAGCAACAGTCTGGTGTCCTGCTTTCTCTGTCGTTGGCTAAGGGTTGGCTTTTTTTGTTTCAGTCAGGCCAGAGCAGTCTTTGGCTTGCATTTGGGGTTATGATAAATTGTAGTATTGTATTTGATAAATCTCAATTAATAGAGCAAAAATCATTTAATTATAATACCAAACGAAAGGGTAGAGAATTTCGAAGTATAACAAACTAAGGTCTCAACTATTTTTAATAGTATTATTTTAAACTACTATAATTTATGAAAAGAGAGATCATCTTGAGTGAAAAGGGCAGAACCAACCGGCTTAACCACGTCTACATTGCGGTCTTGTCTTTACAATTTTGACATTGACTTACCAAAAAGAAATATAAAGTATAGACTTTACTTCCACTTGATAAGAGCAGCAAGGTTGGTAAAAGAAATTACTTGAAAAGAGCACCCATGGAAAGTCTAAATTAGACGACATGATACTATAATCTCTGCAGTTGGATCCTTAAGTGAGGTAAAATATGTAATTAATGATGATACACAAGGCAGAGTTGAAGCAGATATCTATGTGATTAGTCAACAAAAAGAGATAAAGGATGTAACTAATCCTTCTTTGAATTTGATCATCAAAACAGTCCATGTGCATTCAGAATAGACTCTGCTTGTTAGACAGACAAGTTAATTTTAGAACATCCTGTTAGAAATCAAGATATTATTGAGTTTTCTTGGTCAGTTATTATATTATTAAGTTAGCACACCATCATCCTGTTGGAATAGTTGAATTTTTCAAATCGACATCTACTGGAAGCTTTATTTCCTTGACTAAAATATTGCTGTATTTCATTGAAAATCATATTTTCCTTTTCACATGGACAAGAACCATTGGAAAATTATAAACTTGTCTAAATTCCTTTATTAATAAAAGCCGTTTTACACATCTGGCCTTTCCCCATTAAGCTATAAATACCACCTCTGGTGCTCACACTTCCTCACACCAATATCAATCATTCTCTTAGCTTCCTCTACATTCATTCTTTCTTTGATCATATTTTCTAAGCTCTCAAATCATCATCTTCATCATGGGTGTCTTCACATACGCAGACGAGTCCACCTCAGTCATCCCCCCACCAAGATTGTTCAAAGCCCTTGTTCTTGAAGCTGACACCCTCATCCCCAAGATTGCTCCCCAATCAGTTAAAAGTGCTGAAATTGTTGAAGGAGATGGAGGTGTTGGAACCATCAAGAAGATTAGCTTTGGTGAAGGTTGGTTTCTGCCATTGCCTCTTCTAAGTTTAACTTGTTTGCCTAATTAATAACATAAATCTTGAAAGCATTAATCTCTTAATTTCTAATTATAATCCTCATTTTACAGGAAGTCATTACAGCTACGTGAAGCACCGGATCGACGGGCTTGACAAAGATAACTTTGTGTACAGCTACAGTTTGGTTGAAGGAGATGCTCTTTCAGACAAGGTTGAGAAAATTAGTTATGAGATTAAGTTGGTGGCATCTGCTGATGGAGGTTCCATCATAAAGAGCACCAGCAACTACCACACGAAAGGTGATGTTGAGATCAAGGAAGAGGATGTTAAGGCTGGGAAAGAGAAGGCAACTGGTCTTTTCAAGCTTATTGAGAACTACCTTGTGGCCAACCCAGATGCCTACAACTAAAACCTTAAATGAAATATACTGCATGCTATAGGGCAACAACTTGTGTCCTGCTTTCTCTGTTTATTGAGCAGTGTGTGTGGCCTTTCATTTTATTTTTATTTTTTATCATACCAAAGTAGGTCTTTGACTTTTCACTTTGGAGTCATGATTAAAGAGTATGTTGTATTCGATTTCAATTTCAATAAATAAAACATAAATTTTATATAAATCATTTCATGGTAGTCTTGGTAGTCTTTGCAAATTTGGTCTGCAGTATCTTTTTTCTTCAATTCCGTGAATTTCAGTCTTCTCAGTTTTGTTGTTTTGACAACCGTATTCTAAACTAGCCTAATTTGTGAAGAGAGAAAACAAACTCGGATGCAAAGGAATAGACACATCGCCTTGATCAACCGGTCTAACCCACGTTGGACTATGGTCTCAACTTAACAGTTTTGAAATAGACATGACTTACTAAAAAGAAATATAAAGTGTGTAAACTTTGACTTCAACTTGATTAGAGCAGCAAGTTTGGTAAAATAAATGACTTGAAAAGAGAAGCCATGGAAAGTTTAAATTGGATGACATGTTACAGTTGGATCCTTAAGTGAGGTAAAAAATTATAATTAATGGACATTTCGAAGCAGAAGATACAGAACAGAAGGCAAAGTTGAAGCAAGGCAGCCTCTATCCCACTGTGTTAATTATCGAAAATATGATTTGAAACTTTGAAGCATCTAATGATGCAAACAGTCCCACCAACTTACAAGCTTGTCTTTTATGCCCTAAATAATCCTGAGCATCTTTTTCCCTTTTCCTTCTCCTTTTATCCTAAATTGTGAATAATACTAAGTATTTATTTAGAAATTAGAACTCTGAATTTATTTCTTGCACATGTATTTTGGAACTTTCCATTAGATTTTGGACATTCCATGTGCATTCAAGATTATCGCTTGGCATTTAGAACCAGTTGGAGGTAAATTATTATTAAGTTAGCAGACCAGTTGGAATAAGTTGAATTTTTCAAATCAACTTCTACTGGGGCTCTATTTCCTGAGTCCAATTTTCCTGTTACCAAATCCCTTGTGCCCCTTGTTTCCTCTTTAGTTTTGTGACACATGACACACCACTTAACAACATTCTAACTGTGTCAACTCTCTTCAGCCCATTTCGGCTCGGCACAAACATTGCAGGCTCATCTTCATCGACATCGAAAATTGAGATGTTCGAGTATGGAAACGTACAGCGCTGTGCCCATATGATTGCTTCCCTTCTGAATAGTGCAATTCTGCATTGCAAGAGAATGGAAACAGAGTCGTTGAAATAGGTGTGGCAATCTTTGAGGGCAAGGTCCCCCTGCATAGTCCCATCCACAAGCAGTTATAAGTGCTGAAATTGTTGAAGGAGATGGAGGAGTTGGAACCATCAAGAAGACTAACTTTGGGGAAGGTTTGTTTACTTTCCACCTATAGGCTAAACTGTGTCTTTCAGACAAAATAGAGAAAATCTCTTACGAGATTAAGTTGGTGGCATCTGTGGTGCAGATGGAGGTTCCATCATAAAGAACACCAGCAGCTACCACACCAAAGGTGATGTTGAGATCAAGGAAGAGCATGTTAAGGCCGGCAAAGAGAAGGCCCATGCTTTGTACAAGTATATTATATATACTGCATGCTATAGAGGCAACAACATGTGCCCTGCTTTCTCTCTTTATTGAGCGGTGTGGCTTTCAGTTTTTTCTTTTGTATCATACCAAAATTGGTCTTTGGCTTGCACTTTGGAGTCATGATTAAAGAGTAATGTTGTATTCGATTTCAATATCAATAAATAAAACATAAATTTTATATTTATCATTTCATGGTAGTCTTTCTAGATCTAAATTTAGTCTGCGGTATTTTTTTTCTCCAATTTCATGAATTTCAATCTTTTCTTTACCTAGTACAAAGTAAAGATTCGATAAAATTGGAATGATAAGAATGACACGCATAACTTGAGAAATGGTCCTTTTGTTTTAACTTGAGAAATGGTCCTTTGGTTTGCTCATGTTCTTGAGAAGTACCATTTGAGGCAACCCTGATGCCTACATGTAAAACTCTGTCACTGCTTGCAAAGAGCAGCACTAAAGAAAAGCTATAATTATATTCATAAATTAGGCGCAAAGACTATTAGTCACAAGAGCTAATAAAAATATCTACAAAAGATTAATATGAAGATGGAAACATAGTAACCGCAAAAGCACATATCCATGAATAAAAAATGATTAGGACTAACTTTTAGGCCAATTTTTCCAATTGGAAATTTTTTTATTGAAAATTCGACAAAATCTATTTTTTATTTATGATATTTTGACTAGGGCTAACTGTCAAACTGCTTGCAAGTTACAACCATTTTAATAGATTCCAACCCACAGACAACAACCGACATACACACACATCGCTATTCATCAATGAAAGAAAATGGGATGTAGGCAATCATTGGAGGATATGATATGAGTACCCAAATGAAAGCTACTCAAACACTGATACTCTTTTTTTTTAGAGTACAAGTGACAGTCTAAACTAAAGGGGAGGGGGTTTCTCATATGTATACACACAACTAAGATGTCATGATGGTTCAAACTTGAGACCTTTAATTTACAAATCAATGCCCTTATCCATTAGACTAAACCCCGTTGACAAACATTGATACTCTTGGAATCTGAATAAAAGGGTCGAAGCTCTAAATGAAAACCCTAATCCCCAAGACACAATATAATCCACTAGAGGCTACAAAGAGCCTAGATCAAAATGACCCGGATTAAAAAATAGAGCCCACTTGTGCCTCCTTATAAAGGATATATGGATAATGCAAATTAGGGTTATTTATTCAAATAGTCTTCAAACTTATACTCGAGTTGTATTTTGGTCTTTCAACTAAATTATTCATTCAAATGGTCCACCAACTCTTTATTAATCGGAGCTTTGGTCCTACCATTACATTTTGTCAATATTGCAGTCAAATATAAGGGTTAGGTTGATGAAATGGGGTTGGGGTTGGGGGGCTGGTTTATTTTTATTTTTATTTTTTTGTGGGTTACTTTTTGTTGTTTTTATATATTCTTTTATAGTTTTTATTAATTTTAAAAATACATAAATTTTGTATTAATTTGTATTAATATATTTTTATTTTTTTAGTTGTCAAAAGTCTTATTTACCCCCATAAATGTAACATGTGCTACTCACATGATGAAATTTAAAAGAAAATGTAACGGTAGGACCAATGCGCCGATTAATAAAGAGTTGGTGAATCATTTGAACAAATAATTTAGTTGAGAGACCAAAATGCAATTAGGGTATAAGTTTGAGGACCATTTGAGTAAATAACCCTGCAAATTATGAACACCAAAATTCAATAAAATAATAAACAAAAGGCTAGTTGGAGTACATGGGCTACCTTTTTTTTTTTCTTTTTCTTTTAAGGGTCTGAAATCCATTGGGTTATTTAGGTATTAAAAAAGTTCAAAATTTGGGTTTGGCTATAGCCCTAATTATCTAGTATAATGCCTAGCGCAGGGTTAATCTAGATACGTAGAAACACACTGACAACAACAAGTGTACAAAGTGTATCTCCACTAATAGCTTTATAAGGCCAAAGAAATTTCGGCATAAAAGTGGCAAGTTTGAACATGCCAAACATGAACCGCAATGCCTAAAACTATCAATACAACTACAACTTTAAAACTCTCACAAGTAGAAACTACAAGTACATACTAGAGTCACTAGACTACAAACAAACACCCAACTCACAAAGAGTTGATGTAAACAACCCAAGAGACAAGGAAGGAACGGGATGGAGTGGAAAGGAGACAGAGGAGGGGTGGAGGGGAGGGGAAGGGTTAGGGTGGAGAAGGAGAGGAGGGGAGAGGGGAGAGGGGGAGGGAAGGGTGGGGAAGGATGAGGTTAAGCTATCAAGCCAAAACTGTCTTTGTGTTAAGCTATGATGAGTGTATTTATTTGAATTCAATCTTTATAACTAAAAGAAAAACATTTGACAGTATTGGCATATCTTTATAACTCACCCTAAGTCCTCTATTAATGTCACACGTGTAATGCTCTGTAAAATGACAACGTGGCCAACTTTGATCACCAGTGACTTTTGAGCGACTGTGTGAACAGCAGCGAGCATCCCTACTCCTTATCCAATACACGACCCCTTCACTTTCTCTCCTCCCCTCCCCTCCCCTACTACTTTCTCTATCCTCCACCCAAACACTCTTCTATGGCCTCTACTTCACCCTTCGCCCCCGCATTGCCGCCAAATTACCATCTTACTACTCATCCTACACCTGCTGCATCCCGCCCTCTACTAAGCCCCCAGAAACAGATACTGCCGCATAATTCTTACCACGGTGTTAATGCACGAAAGTACCACTCTGTGCCTCGTCGGAGAATGACGACGAGGTGCCAAGCGATGGAGGTGTCGGTGGCAGACGAGTCGTCTTCGGCGTCTGGAGGCGGCGGTGGGGAGAACTGGGTGCCGGTAGTGCCGCTGGCCGCGCTGCCAAGGGGGGAGCGGCGCGTCATAATTCAAGATGGGGAAGCCATACTCTTGCTGTGGTATAAAGATCAGGTCTTTGCTATTGAGAATCGCTCCCCTGCTGAAGGGGCTTATAGCGAAGGCCTTCTCAACGCCAAGCTCACCCAGGCAAGCCAATTAATTAATTACTTTTAATTCAGTTAATTAATTTGTTCCTAATCCTAATTGTTTGTTAACTTATTGATACTGGTTGCATTGCAGGATGGGTGTATAGTTTGCCCATCAACTGATAGCACATTTGATCTGCGCAACGGATCCATTAAGGAGTGGTATCCCAAAAACCCAGTGCTCCGAGTCCTTACACCCGCTTTGAGGACGCTTTACGTCTACCCTGTCAAAACTGATGATCAAAACATTTACATTAGCCTCGGTACTGCGTCACTCGAATCTGATGCAGCTGCCGAAATTGTCTTCAGTGGCAAGGCTCAACCGGGTTTTACAGCTACTGATGTCAATGTGGATGAGGTATTTTTCTTTTTCTTTTCTTGTTCTTTAAGAAACTAGACATTGAAAAAATGTACGTGGCTTGGCTTGGTGCATGTGTCAAACTGTGATTTGCTGACGATGATTTGTTCAATTCGTGGTGACGTGCTAAATTGTTAATTCAGGTGAAAATGGTGGTTGATGAGGGTCTAGATGTGGCATTTGGTTTCACGGCGA